GGCAGCTGTGGAACAGATTGCAGCAAATCTGGATTAAAATAATGTATCATAACTGCAGTTTTAAGTGTGTAGCAAAAAGAAGAGAATGGAAGCTTGGGAATTGTCCATATTGTCAGATCCAACAGATGAGATTATTAGTCGTAGCCCTGAGGTGGTGGAAACAATTCATGTGAAGAAAATGCAGAGGGAGCTTCCTGAAAACAAGATTATATGTACAGGGATAAAGTGCCAGAGCAGCAAGCAAGGAAATACTTTCTCCCAACCTAATGCATGGTTTCTAAGGTCTGTGAAGAGATTCTCAGATGTGTGCTGTATGGCTGTTTACTATTTTATGTAGACTTTAATAATGTAAATTTTATTTTAATTTTCAGCATGTTTTCTAATTTAAAAAAAAGTAATTTATGATCCTTGCCTTTACTGATGGCTGAGCTGAAGGGAAAAGTCCAGTCTGCACAGGAAAGAGATGGGGGGAGAGCCCCCATCCACCACTTCCTTGGTGAACACAAGCAGGAGGGAGATGCATGTTTATCTGTGTGTGAAATGATCTTTTCTTTTCTGTGAACCTGTGAATTTTTCACACCATTTCCCCTTCATTTGAAAGGAGTTGTTACAGATGTCGACTGTGTTACACCAGTTCACTCCCTGTCTGCAGCTCATCCTGTGCAGTTAGCAATCAAAAAAAAAAAGTTTGTGTATTTAATATTACTTTAATATGAATGTACAAGAGCATGAGGCATGGATTAAATCTTGTCTATGATGTTTACTGTCTTATGTGAACTTCTGTATTGTAAATTTTATTTTAGTTTTGCATGTTTTCTAATGTAGAAAAAGTAATTTTTCACCCCTACATCTATTGACCCCAATAAGAAGTATTAGTCTACTAATACTACCCTTAAATGCAGGTGCTTAACAGGCTTAGAAATACAGAAACCTATTCTGACAATTGAGCTAATAGTTTTACCAGAAATAAATTTACATACCCTTTCTAGACTTTATCAAGAGCAGAGGATAAAATTTGGATACATTTTATACGTACCCAAGGCTGTGTTTCTCCTTGTGGTATGGCTTGGGCAGATAGTGTGGAGTTCTGCCTGATGGCAGGGTGGTTTGTCTCAGCAGAAATCCTGGCATGCAGTCAGTGGGAGATGCGGGTCACTAAATGGTGCAGTGGAGCAAGTGTTTGCTGGGCTGAATTTCTGTGGAGGGGCTGAGAACGATCCTGCTTTCTTACCCCAGCCCAAGGCTTGATTTCACCTTGTTCCCTTAGGCAAGAGGAAGCACTCCTAACCCAGAATTGTGGTTGCACTTGGAGATGTTTTAAATGGGGGAAATGCCAGTTATGGTTCTTTCCTACCCATGTTTTGCAAGGTGGGCTGGTGATGTAGGCCACTGTTCCCCCCTACCTGCGCTCAGCCCTGTTCCAGGGAGCAGCTCTTTGTGTTGGCCTCTGGGAATTACATTATTAGCAGTTCTGGCTTTCAGTTCTGCTGTTTTGGCATGTGTATATGCCCATATCTTGCTTTTGTTTTAGGGATGTTAATGACTTTACAAACAGTCGTAGTAGTGAACAGTATGTCAGGTTGCTGCAGGGTCGCTTCCTTTCTGCAGCACTGAATCCCAATGTGACTTTGTGCTTTTGACAATAGCTTAGCCACTAGGTTTTAATTTTTACCCTTTTAACAGTGCAGTGGAGTTACGCAGATTTTGAAACCCGGAATACTCAGGTTTTGCATGCATCCAGTGAATTTGAGGCATCAGAGGTATTTTGGATGTCTGTGTGAGTGCTGCACAGATGATGTGAGCACAAGCCCGGCATAACACAGAGTCTGGCAAGAGCCTCCCATGGGCTGGTGGAGCCACAGGAAACAAAAAGCTGCTTCAACTTTCCTGAGACAGCTTGTTAGCCAAGCATTGGTGGTTGCTGGTGGAACTCCTGCTCCTGTCCTGTACCAGACTTTCTGCCCAGTCCCAGCTGGTCCTGGAGGATTTCCTGAGCCGGTGATGAGCCATTTACTTGGGAGAATCATCAGCTGCTTATTGTGGAACTTTAAATTTGTGTTGTTTCTAATATCTCTGTGCTGTGATATAAAACAACTGCAGTGATGGAAATACTAATGTAATAGATTAGTCCCATTCATTTAATTTTTTTAGCTTTATCTAGGTTGCTTTCATTACTTTTTAGAAATAGCAATGATAATATGAAGGATTTTTTTTTTTGTGCAGGCTGTACTACTTGAAGTAGGGATAGACATATTCAAGCCAATTTCTGTTTTCCTAGACTTCAGAAAACATTGAGTATCCTAGTTTGCAAATACTATGCTTCTACACTGAGGACTAAGTTATCACAGTTTGACAGTCAGCAACTGAAGTATTCTTTCATACTGGTTTTGAATCACATATTACTCATTTTCCATATAACACATTAATGACATATTTGGTGTTTATTACTCTTATGAATAAGAGCCAGATCCATCTGGCATTGCTCACATGAGTAATCCTGTTAACTCAGTTTTATAAGTAGAACCAACAGATCTGAATTTTTTTTAAAAAAAATGTTATTGTTTCCCTGTTGTTTAATTCTCTTAGGACCTTGGCCTTGAAATAAAATTATTGTACGATAAAGTAAGCAATAACCATTTTTTTCAGTTTCCAGCTTGGTGTTTGAAAATCAAGCTGTGGCTTGAGGGTTTTGGACACCAAGACAAATCACAGGAGCAAAGAAAGATAGCCAGAATCTAGCAGCTAGTTTTACTGGTGTGTTAACAAGGAAGAATAGAATTTAGTGCATATTTTGTCATTTATATAGATTCTTCACTGTTGTCAGTCAAGTAGCTGTATGTTACACAGAACATCTGGTAAGAGCAAATCACAGCAGTAAGGTGTTTCCTTGTTACTACTCACCTGACTTCAAGAAATTTCTGATCCTCTGCTCTTCTTCCCATGCTGAAAGCATGCATTTGTGTATCATAACTGTCATAAAACTGCAACTCGCTGTACAGCACTACTTGTTTATTACTTAACAGTAGCTGTTGCTGTAAATCAGTTCTAGTGTTGATTTTATCAAGAGTACAGAATGTTCCTGGCAATGCGTATCCTCAGATTCGTACTGCAGTCCAGCTCTCTACCAAAGTAGCTTGTTTCCCGTGTTCTGTCACTAGTTGTATGCACTCGTCCTTTGCAAGTTCGTATCTCACTGATTTTAGTCCTTCTGGGAAGTAGTCTTAACAAATTGCACACATCTTGACCAGAAGGTACTTTCTAGTCCCAGATGAAATCTCGATGTATTCACTTTATCCTTCTCTAGAACGTACCAAGACATGGGTATGAGGAACATAAAGAATTTTTTAAAAATAGGTAGAGAGGCTGGAAGGGGGTCTAGAAGTTGAAGTGATCTTAAAGAAAAAAGAGGACTGAACAGTGAGAGACAAGAGTAATAAAAGACAGGGTAAAGCGGAGGAGGTTGTTGCTGTTCTTTAATGATTCACCAAAAGTAATTTCTGTCCCTTTAGCTGTCCCCTTGCAGTTCCATTCTCTAGAGCTTAGTAGTACTTGAGCCCATCTCTCTCTCCCTCCTCTCCTGTGTTTCTTCCTGGGATTCGTTTCCTTGCTTTGTGAAGGAGTAAGTAGTTTTGACCGTACTGTGTCTTTATAATGTTTTAGCAAGTAGACCTCAGGTGAAAACTGTCACGTATTGTTTGTGTTTCATTGCTGTAGCAAGTTTACTACTGCTACTATAAAAGGTATCTTTGCTGCTGAATTTAATCTCATGTATCAGTGGCCCATTTAATTATTTTCGATCAGTGCTGTATTTGCTCTTTAACTTATGTTCAATGAGTGCTATCATCTCAGTTTTTGCAAAGTTCAGAGCTTGAGGATCCTATGTAGTGATGCTCTTCACTGCTAGATGGAAAATGCTGTAGCTTGTCTTACAAATACGGTTGTAGAACAAAACTTCATTTAGACAATATTCAAGGTATTGCTGAGCTGTTCTGCTGGATAATCAATTTTTCAGTTGACTGTCAGCCTGGCCCCTATCATCTCCAACAAAGGACTTTTGGTTCCTCAGAAATCTAAAGTACATTAGCAGAAAAAATAACTATGTATTTTTCGAGAGACTGGGTTTCATCCAGAGTTTGTTTGTTTGAGATTTGCATCTAAATAAATAAGCAAATAAGATTTTAATTATTTATGTTTATTTAAGACTTACAACATTTGAGCCATGAACACAGAATATACATGCACATTAAGGTGCTCTGTGAGTTCTGGAAATTTTGTGAGTGATGTGAAAAAAGAGTAGTATGTCTCCAAAATGTATTTGGTGATCTGCACTGAAAGGTTATGAAGACAAATAACTGGTAATAGGAATGTAAAGGGAAGACAGAGACAGGAAAAATAAAATTGGGAAGTTGGGACAGATGAACAAATCTTTCATCTGGAACAAACTAACCACGTAGAAGCAGTTTATAAAGGGGCAGGGGATGGTAGGTGTAGATAGTGATGTATTCTTTTTGAAGTTCCCAGTTGTATGTGGACATTAGACAGATTTCTTTTGGTTTCTTTCTCCTGCTAGGTAAAACAAAGAATGCACATTTAGTATAACAGCTTTGTGAGCTGATGTAGATCTGCAGATTTAGACTTATGATGTGGCAAAGTAGTTTTTGTAACACTGGAGTAAAAGACTTTTGTCAACTCTATCTGTGCTGCCTTTTTTTCTGTGAGATACTATTCCAGCTTCCAGTAGTCACTACTTTGTACATCACATTCTATCTTTAAATGAGTTTGTTTAATTAGTAGACTAGAAAACTACAGTAAATAAAGAGGTCTCAATCTGAAGGTGTTTGTGTGTAAATGTTCTTATAGCATAACTATAATAATGTTTTCTATGTGACAGTAAGTGATGTGGATGAAAGAGTCTGGATAATCTCATGAAATTTTAGGTATTTGCTTGCTCAGGGCAAAAAAAATGGTGTTCTGGACTTGATTTTTTTGTTTTTACCCAGATACCCCGTCACAAAGGGTGCAGTTTATTCTTGGAACAGAAGATGATGATGAGGAGCACATTCCTCATGATCTCTTTACTGAGCTTGATGAAATTTGTTGGCGTGAAGGAGAGGACGCAGAGTGGAGGGAGACAGCAAGGTGAGTGTTTTCATGAGTTTCTAAAAATTATCTGTAGTTACTGGGTCCTGGTGTATTGAGGAATAATTTCAAAGCTGTGCCAAGCTCAGGAACAGATTTCAGATCTAAAGCTTAAATAAAACCATAATTTTAATCCTTAGACTGCTAGTACTCAACAGCATTTGTCGCTTCCCAGAGCCAAATGTTTTCATCTGGATTTATGAAATATAGGTCAGAATGAATATCAAGGGAAAAAAAAGAAAGTAAATATATACATGAATTAAAAATAACTGGTTTTATTTGTATATTAGCTCATCATTTTAAGAAACTTTCAGACTTTATATTCTGTTTGAATCCTCAAGAAACTGATAAAATTACCATCATAAAAAGATAAAAGCAAGGAATGAGATCACTTTTGAAGCAATACAACTTTTACATAATCTAAGTATGAATCAACAGTTGTTTTTTAGACTTTAACTGTTCAATGTTGGATTATTTTGTTTCTGCAAAATTAGTGTGAAAAGATTGGTTAGATGGCATTTCTGCTGAAAAAAATTAATATTGGAACAGAACTTTTGATTTTTTTGCATGTTTGTTTCCTTGAGCAACTATACAGGAGATGACTTGTTTGGTTTCATTAAGACTTTACATTTCCCAGCAATCCTTGCTTAATTTTTCTTCTTAAAACCTTAATTCTCTCTTCCCCTGCCAGTATTTGTTGACAGTGTTCCTCAGTGGTGCACGGAAGTCTGTGGACCACATCTTTGGTGTCGGTAGGATAAAAATTCTGGAATTTCTGAAAGGATTTTGTGGGGAGCTAGATATAGAATCATAGAATCATAATGGTTGGAAGAGACCTCAAAGATCATCAAGTCCAACCGTATACCTGATGCCACCAGGTCCACTAAACCATGTCTTGATGGTTTAGTTTTTTGAATACTTCCAGGGATGGTGACTCCACCACCTCCCTGGGGAGCCTGTTCCAATGCCTAACAACTCTAACAGTGACGAAGTTCTTTCTAATGTCGAGCCTGAACCTCCCCTGGCGCAACTTGAGACCGTTTCCTCTTGTCCTGTCACTAATTACCGGGGAGAAGAGCCTAACCCCCACCTCACTACGACCTCCTTTCAGGTCGTTGTAGAGGGCGATCAGGTGTCCCCTCAGCCTCCTCTTCTCCAGGCTAAACAACCCCAGCTCCCTCAGCCGCTCCTCGTAAGGCTTTTTCTCCAGGCTCTTCACCAGCTTTGTTGCCCTTCTCTGAACATGCTCCAGCAGCTCAATGTCCTTCTTGTAGTGAGGGGCCCAAAACTGGACACAGTATTCGAGGTGCGGCGAATGTGAGCTGTTTGGCATGAATATGGCTGTTAGCTTTCCCTTTAATTTTACTCTGAATTCCTGCTTTTCCAGAGGGCCACAGAGTTTTCTGTGACCTTCCCTTCCCTTATCTGTCCATAGGAGGCATAGATAGATGCTAAATATAGATCTTTACATGTAGAAAATTCTCATATGGGGATTGTGCTGCAAAATGAATGTGATAGTGTTCCTAAATAAACTTATTAATATTCAGAGAGAGAAAATCTAATCAAATTAATCATCTGCAGTGTTCTTATACTGATTAGGAATATATAGAACCTCTTCTAGGAAGGGTATAAGCTTCTATTGTGGTTAAAAATAAAAATTACTGTGGCTTATGTTGTTTTTAAGCAGGGAAATAGCAGCTTCTTTAGTTCAACTAAAAACAGTCCCTTTGAAAATCATCAAAGAACTGTGTTTTTGAAAAATTATAACAATTTTTATTAACATAAATAGTTAATCAAGATAGAATTTGAAAGGAATAGGTGAAATAAAGAAATTTCTATTTAGATTGATCTCTCTGTATGTATAACCTTTCCAATTGTCATTTGGGAACTAAAGAATCAAAAATGTTTAACAGAAACAAGATTAGATTGTTGAAAAAGGGCAGAAAAAAACAGCCAATACAACTGTATTTTTGGAGCTGGAGAATACAAGAGTGAAGTATAATAGCGAATAGTAAAAATTTCTCTAGCTTTAGAAGTTAGATGAAAACAAAGAAAGAGTGGGGCTGCCATGCAGAAAGAACTGGTCAAGATAAATGATCTTTTTCAGTTTAGATCCAAAAATTTCAGACAGCGTTTGACATGGGTTGGGTGGCTGTTAGAACACGAGGAGATGGCAGTGAAATGGCCAAATTAAAAATGAAGGCAAGAGTCAAAGTGCTTTATCTGTGCAAATAAGAGGGTGCAATAATTTCCATCCTAGAAAGCTGAGAGAACATGTGTTTCATGCGTATGGTAAATCTCGTCTTTCTGTGAATCTGTCGGGTGGGTTTTTGTATAGCAAACAGCAACATTATTAAAGAAAGGGTAAAAATGGTCAAAACGAACAGAGGCCTGATAGATTTCAGAGTTATGCAAGGCTTAGAACAATATTTGAAGGAAAGAATAATTGTAGACTTGAAGCTAAGTGGAAAATTGGATAAAATGCAGTACAATGGTGTATCATGTCAGAAAAATTTAATAAAGCTATTTAATCAGATAATTGATTATTGTTTTTCTGACAGAAAAAACAGTGGAACTAGTGTTTTTTTTTTTAGTAAAGCATTTAATATGATACAGCAGTGGGAATTTATTACTTAAACTCTGCTCTAGTGTAAAAATTGTATTCGTGAGTAAGGTACTAATTGAAGAGGTGCAGCAGGTCATGCTGAAAGGTTCAACTGTTAATGTGGAAGGTAGTGAAAACTAACTTCTGAAGAATTAGTCTTAGTAAATAGCTTTATTATTGAATGACAAAAAATAGGATTATAGTAATGAAACTTGCTCATGATAAGAAATTAGGAAGGATTGTTACTCTAGAAATAGATAAGGATATCATACACAGAGTAAGATGACTTTGAGTAGAGTAGTAGAAATTAGATGCTGTTTAATATGCAAGATTGTATACTTACAAACTAATACAATGGATTGCTTTTGATACCGGTGGTTGAGTCAGGACTTCAGAAATATTGATTTGATTAAAAGCGTAGTATGGAGAGGATACACTTTGAGTTTGTTGCTATTCCAGCCTTATTATATGTTTTCCATCTGTGTGGAAAATGCCACTGGAAGTATTTGTAAATATTATTGTCTGGCTTTGGACATAGTTCCAGGTAGATAAATTTAAATGCAAACAAGACAGAGGAAGGCTTGGTCATTAACTGTGCTTGATGAGAGTAATGGCACTAAGTGTTTTGGTATTCATTTCACCAAGCTGTGCATGGGCTGAAGGGTTGGGTTGACTCTGATGCAGTAAATCTGTATGTTTGTATTTCCAGTTTGATTGAAAGTGCTTGCACAGTTCAGCCTTAAAATTTTTTAAAAATACCTTGAGCAAACAGCGTAAAACTATTTGACATGTTTTGTTCTTGGTTGATCGAAAGAGTAACATATCAAAGGGAGCCATGGATAAGATTTGACTGAAGTTTGGTGTTCTTTGGGTAAATCTCCTCTATTCCTATTTCATTTGTTTGGAAGAGTAAGTCTCCTCCCCGCCCCTGTTCCTAGTCAGCAGTTAGGAGACTGCAACATTTGCCGTTCTCCATAACATTTCTCATGAGCAAAAGCATTCCTGCAGATTAATTAGTAGGAGCAAGAAAGTGCACTGCTGTTAAAGCCTATTCCATTCCAGGATCTGATTTAGGCTGTCCCATCCATGGAATTAGTTAGCAAGCAGAATGGAATAACTTAGTTATGTTGTTATAGTAATAAAATGAATTAATTTTTCCCCCGCTACTTGATTTCAGGCCAGAAGAAACACATACCTTTTAAAATTAATAGACAGTCTTATGATAATTTTTGTATGTGGCCCAGCTGTACAATTGTGTAGCAAATGCATGATGTATGGTTTCTATTCTGAAAAAAATGTTTCCAGTAAGTTTGTGGAGAAACACACTGAGGCATAACAGTTGGGCTTATTTTATACACACAGTGGTATAGTTGCAAATTACAGCTCTTAGGAAAGTAATTTGTGTTCATCTATCCTGATAGCCTCTAGTGGTCATGGCTGGAAGGTAGTGCCTGATTTGTAGCAAGTTTTCCCCAAACTGTTGGGACTCATCTGCTAATATAAAATGAAAATTTCAGGAGAATATCACTACATTTCTGGAACAGAAAAGTATATGTAGTAGGGAGGAAAATAGAAAGATACTTTGGAACCAACAGAAAGTGTTTAGGCTTGAATTTTAATGGAACAGCACAGTTATGAAAATAAATCTCTGTCCATAGTTTAGAAAGTAAATTGTTAATAGTGACTAAAAATGGATGTACTAGGGAAGAATTACTAATATGAAGTGAAAATGCATCTCTGCTGGATGAAAACTTTCTTCCAAAGAAACTGGTCACCCACAAGCCTTAGGTTTGTCACTTCTGCTTAGTTTCTGACTTGCTTGTTTACTTTGGTTCATTTTCTAATCAGTGTAGGCAGGCAAAAGCTTATGTGGAAATTTATGCAGGTTGTAAGATTACATTAATAACATTGACTCTTGAGCAGGTTGTGGGTGAGTACATACTCCAGCTCTCTGTTGCAGACGTAACAGACTATAAAATCATGTTCAACTCACTTCACATTGTGCACTAAAATGTAACTGAGTCTACAGTGAAGTGTGCACAGTCTTTCATTGACTCTTGAAAAATTGGTGGAGATTACTTCAGAAGATGTAGCATATGTATGTATGTATGTACACACACACACATATTTCAGTAATATTTTTCCTATAGTAACATGCCTTGCTGAAACTCTTGTTGACATGTTTTGTTCCAGGAAGTATGCTATCAGAGGAACTAAACTGTATGATTGATATACCTGTGCTAGTCTTTACCAGTAGAAGAAAATCGTATGAATGAAGCAGCTCTCCTATGTGATCAGGCACAGCTAAGACAGCTCCAAATATATTCCAAGCACATGGGATACTTGTGACATATGAGCTCAATATACAAATAGGGTTGGTGGTGGTTTCTGGGAAATTAAGAAAGTATTTTATTTATCAACTGTACCAATTTAAGAGGTTAAACTACAAAAGTAAATATGTTATTTTTTTTTCCTTTGAGAAACTACAAAGAGTAGAAAATTGGCAAACGTGGGATCTGTGCCTGAATTTGGATTTCGAAGCCATTTTTATCCTTGAATCTTGTACATGAATTCAGAGGGTTGTTAAATGGTATTATGATTTTTAAAACCACTTGAACACTTAGAACTGTACAGCTATGCGTAAGAGTAGAGATTGGTTTGGTTTATGTTTTCTGCTGCTGCTTCTCATTTGATATGTTAAATAAGATTTATCTGACGTAACAGAGGAATATTTCTGAAAAGATAAAAGGTGATAAACATGATTTTCCATTGATGAGTAAACTCATGTGATGCTTATTAAAATCAAAACAGAATTTTATTCCAAATGTAGAATTCTCTCAGCTGGGTATGATTTATGTTTACATACTAGCCTGTTGCCTTATTAAGTAACAACATATAAAAATATGTTAAAAAAGTTTTAGTAACAGTAGGGAATTGGATGCAACCCATAGAATTACACTATTCGATTTGTTTGAAACTCAGATGGAGATGATCACAATGGCAGGCATGATTGTTTGAGCAGTAGCAATAGTTTCCTCTGGGTTTTGATGTTGTATGTAAGCTTTGATGTGTGATTGACACCATAAACTCTAATTAAAGCCATTTTCATGATTTAGACTTTTCTTGTCCGTACGTCACTAGTAAGCTACAAGCTCTGGTTATGAGCCTGCCTCTGTCCAGTCATCTGTCTTTATGAAACTTTTAAGAACATATTTGTTTTTTATCACTCATTTAAAATCTGTTTAGAATTGGTCAGTGTGTTCAAAATAGCTAATATGAAGGACAGACTGCAGCAGTATAATCAGATAAGCAATGTTGAAGTCTGTTTACATGAACAGAAGGTAATGACACTATGAGGTTTCTGATGATATTCTGTAAGAATCTATGCTTGAGTCATTGTTTTTAGGGTATCGTAGCATGATTTTTAATCTTTTTTCAAATCCGCATGAAACAAGATGATGATACATCAGAAATAATTGGGAATACTCGAGTGCAAAGATTGTAATCTTATAAAACTCCTAAAGAGACTGGAAACATGCACAAAACCAGATGTATCAGAAGATAAAAATGTAGATATTTTGCAGTCTTAGGAGGCAATAGTTTAAGCAGGACAATTAATGCACCATGTTTGTGATGTTATGGCCACAAATAGGTCTAGCATATTTTTAGCTTGGAAACATGAGCACCACGAGTAAGCTAGGAGTGGCCTCTTCTTATGGAGTTCAAGTGCAACTGCAAAATGAAAAAAATGAAGAACTTTTTTTCCTTCTCACGTGCTTCTTGGTAAGTTTCCTGAATTGTTGTAGCTCATCCCTTTCAAACTATGGCTTTGATTTGGGTGGGGGTAAGGTGTATTAATTTGTGTTTGATGTCCGTTTGGACATTGTTTTGAAAATCTATTTGGAAAATCTCATTTGCATATGGAAAAATCAATTTAATGATTCAGCTTTGTGGAGGGAAATTTTTGTGTGTGCTATGTCCTTCTTGCTGCTTCTCTGGAAGAGTCAAAAGGTAAAGGAGATATCCTGGCTAGGTTGGGAAGAAAAGAGAGATTGCAATGAAGGGAGTGGAGAACAGAAGACTGATGGAGAGGAAGGAAGTCTCATGGGCAAAGATGAGATATGGAAACAGGACAGCACAGAGGAAATGGAAGGAAAAATGTTAAAATACAAAGAGTAGGAGAGGGCTAGACACATGAGACTGAGGACGCTGGAGAAGCTGAGGAGTTGGGGACAGATTTTGTATGTAAATAATGGGAGAGTGATTAGGAGGCAGCTGTTCAGTTAGAAGAAATGGAATGCATCAGGAAGGGAGCAGGTACGCTGGTGATGAGTGGGTCACTGAAGTGGTGGCTGCTTGCAGGATGGCATCAGAAGAGGAAAATCTACTACACAGGGACTGAAAGGAGGAAAGTATCTAAAATATGGGTACACAGGCATATTTTAGAAGTAGGAGTAGAGCTAGGCAGGTGGGCCAGGAACAGAAGAGGACAGCTGTTGGGCTGCGAGGCTTGGTAAAACTGGAAATTGCTCAGCTTTAGAGGTGTTAAAGCTCTGTGCTTCCCTGCTGTCTGGAAATAAGTGTGAAGGTGCTGTCAAGGTGTGAGGCATTGCTTGACTTCCCTGCTGCCTGGTCCATATGAAATAGCTGAGTGCTGTTGAGTCAAGTGATGGAGGCTTGTGCTGGCGCTGCAGCTGTTCAAACCGTGCCAAGGCTCCATGCAGCAATGTCTGTGTATGCTTGAAAGACTTAATAACTTTAATTTAGAACACTTTTGCATATGTCAACAGACTTTTCTGTTTTTTTGTTTGTTTAATATTCTTTTAACATTTTTAGTGTAATTTTTATCAGTAAACAATTAAAAAGTCACACAAGAAAGTTCATCCAGCTGGCTAGTAACAAAAGACTTAATCCTCTCATGCCAGTTTCAGCTATCCTTTAACTTTACTGAAGTCTCTCCAGATTTACACTGAACCTGAGAACAGGCAAAGGAGACTCAAATAGTGACATATCATGTTGTTACTGGATTCTAAAGTGCTATTTCATGTCATTCATGTGATTGTTTTGCCTAAGCAAGGCCTTTATTTTGGGGCTTGAAAGACTGTTCACAAGTGTTTACACACTACTTGTGTGTGCATGTATGTGCCTATGAAGTTTTTCATTTTAACTGACTAAACTTTTAAATGAAAAATAGCCTAAATTTTGGAGTTAAGTAACCAACAACTTAAACTAACGACGTTCCTAACAGTGGCTTTTGTGAAAAGATCATGGATGCAGATTCTGTGAAGTGTATGTCAGTGTATTTACTTTAAATGAAAAATGTCTCTTCTCTGTTGTGTTTAGTCCAAAGTGAAGACTAAAGGGAGAAAGTTCTCTCCTGTGTTCTGATTACATATAGGTTTTCTTTTTCTCTACCACAAATTCTTCTCCTCTATCCTTTTTGTACTACTTGTTGTTCTGTCATAGAAATATCACTGTATGTCAAAGAATTACTCAAATTTTTTGTAAAGTACAATGATAATTACTTAATATGCTTGTCTTTTCATCTCTGTGATCAGAATTTATCTTCAAAAATGGTATAATACAGCATTATATGGGAAGAAGCAGGCAAGGGAAGTTTCTCATATTTCATACAAAGAAAGAATAGTGAAATCCAAAGACATGTTTAACAGTGATCTTTCAATATCAATGGAAGTAATTTATTTTTAATTTCTTATGCATAATGGAGTTATAAAATTGACTGTTTGTACAGGTGGTTGAAGTTTGAAGAAGATGTAGAAGATGGTGGAGAGAGGTGGAGCAAACCATATGTTGCCACACTGTCACTTCATAGCTTGTTTGAGCTGAGAAGCTGTATCTTGAATGGCACAGTTCTTTTGGACATGAGAGCTAACTCCATAGAAGAAATTGCAGGTATGTATTGGTGTTCATTTATTAGTTATGAAAATTAATCGTAAAAATCAAGTACTTACAAGAAAGCTATTGCGTAATAATTAGTTCAGTTTAGAAACTCCTGGGAAATATTTTACTCAATATATTAGAGAAGAATCTAATGTCTGACACAACTGGTAAATATTTTATTTATATTTTTTGTATGGACTTTGCTATTTTCAGAATCAATTTTTATGTAAAGGAGAAAATTAAAATGGAGCAGAGAGGACAGCTTGGATCTATTTCATTAGAGCTGGCATGTTCTCTGTTCTTGCTGTGCCAGCTCCCATCGAGAACGATGCGTGTGCTAACTTCCACAAACTGAGTCTACTGCTATGCTAATTGCAGACAATCTAGCTTAAAAAAATTAAATTATAGGGAAGTATTAATTGTAATTATGTAACATAAAACCAGACCAGTTTAAAAAACATGTCTCTGAGTTGAGAATCAAATCAAGAACAATAATATTAAGTGTAAGTTTTTCTAAAATTTTAAGATACATTAACTTCTTTAAGTAAACTTGAGTGAATTTTTTCCAATAAAAGTGTATTTGACAATTGCAATTCTAGAGCTTTTGAGAACAGCAGAAGCAGAAAGCAAGAGAGAACATAATGGATGAGACTTGTTTCTCAAAAGTATAAGTGAGATTGAGACTGAATGTCATTTTCTGCATTCCTGGTGCTTCCTATAAAGGCAGTAACTAGTTACTGCAGAGGACTCTTTTTCTGGTAGTGCATTTGTTACTGTAATAAAGCAAGTTGTTATGGACTGTATAGTACAGACCTGTAATGCATGACCTCAAGGAGTCCTAAAACTACAAAAGTTGCATGTCCATGCTAGAGTCATGCAGTACAGTCTCATATGTTTATTTCCCTTCCCAAATACAGCAGGAAATTTGAATTAGATAATTTATGCATAAATTTGCTAGTAGAGAAGAACTGAAGATAAAGTAATTTTCTCTAGGCTATCAAGACAGGGATAACATATGTGTTATAATATAAATATATTTACATTAGACTTTAAAACTCATTGTTTAAACAATAACACCCTGTCCGAGGGCTCATGTGCCCTAGAGAGTTTCTGGTGCTGTGTCCTTGCTCTTGTTGTTTTAAAATATCTGTCCCTTCCAGCAGAGAAGACACAAAGCAAAGAGAGCTGTACTATGTTGTAATCTGGGGTCTCTAATTTTCCATATATCTACCCTTAGTAAGAGGTAGTCTCATGCTTATGATGATTATTGGACTGGTACCCTTGCATATCTTACATCTACTTAGAAGGTTTAACTTGCTTCTACCTTACTCTGTTTCACAACATTTCTGAAAATGGTGCTATATCTGTAAAACATACATATGATTTTTTTTCTACAAAATATACAAATACTTTGGTTTTATACAAATATTGTATTAGATTTATGGCATTCGCCATGTTGCAAACTTTACTTGAAGATCAAATATGATGCAACAGATGTAAATTTGGGAAAAGAGACCATGCACAGAGAAATGGTGCATGAGTGGTTGTTGAGGCCTTTTTGTTGCCTTGTCACAGGCGCAAAGTAACGTGTTGACAGAATGTAAAATAGACAAAGAAAAAATAGAAAACTTTTGTTTAGGTAAAGGTATAAAAGACAGAGCAAGAAAATTTTCTTACACTCAAGATTATCAAGAAAACTGCTTTATGGGTGATATATAAGTCTATGTAAGGGCCAGATAAAATTTATTTCAGTTATTTACAGATAGGAGCAGCCTCACGTTTATAAGCCTTGGTCCTCATGGGGGACTTCAGCCAGCCCGGTATCTGTTGGAGGGACAAGACAGCAGGGCATAAGCAATCCAGGAGGTTCCTGGAATGCATTGCTAATTTCCTTCTTGAAGTGACAGATTTGCCAACGAGGAGAGGTGCTATGCTGGACCTTGTTCTCACCAACAAAGAGGGGCTGGTGGGGAATGTGAAGCTGAAGGGCAGCCTTGGCTGCAGTGACCATGAAATGGTGGAGTTCAAGATCCTTAGGACAGTGAGGAGGGCGCATAGCAAGCTCACTACCCCAGACTTCAGGAGCGCAGACTTTGGCCTCTTCAGGGAGCTGCTTGATAGAGAACCATGGGATAAAACCCTGGAGGGAAGAGGGGCCCAAGAAAACTGGTTAATATTCAAGGATCACCTCCTCCAAGCTCAGGAGCGATGCATCCCAATGAAGACAAAGGTGAGCAAAAACGCCAGGAGGCATGCATGGATGAACAAGGAGCTCCTGGACAAACTCAAACACAAAAAGAAAGCCTACAGAGGGTGGAAGAAAGGACGGGCAGCCTGAGAAGAATACAGAGAAATCATCCGAGCAGCCAGGGATCAGATTAGGAAGGCTAAAGACCTGATAGAATTACATCTGGCCAGGGACCTCAAGAGCAACAGGAAAAACTTCTGTAGAAATATCAGCAATAAAACGAAGACTAAGGAAAATGTGGACCCTCTCCAGAAAGAAACGGAAGACCTGGTTACCAGGGATATGAAGAAGGCTGAGGTACTCAATAATTTCTTTGCCTCAGTCTTCACTGGCAAGTGCTCCAGCCACACCACCCAAGTCGCGGAAGGCAAAGGCAGGGACTGGGAGAATGAAGAACCATACAC